AATACAACTTAACCACTGATTTCTAGTCGTGTCCATTTTTGGAAGGCCAAACACAGTAGTTTCGCTTTCACAACGAAATACAGCGTCACACACGGCAGCCTAGAGTGAGCGGCGGCCGGCAGCTAGAGTGAGAAACGGCCGGCGGGCTGAGTGAACAGAGGCGGCAGATTCGACGAAGGAGCGTCCGGAGGGCTTGCGGCAACCACATGTGACGACCCCGGACTGGACTCCGCTTCGTCCACGGTGAAGGCCGATCCGGCGATCCACAGCGCGAAGTTGATGTATTTCATTAGCGACCTGTATGGATCAGCTCCAGGCATGACGAAGCAGATATTGTCCTCTTTTGGAAGGCCAAACAAAGTAGTTTAGCTTTCACAACGAAACACACAGCACCTTCACGACATGGCGGCCGCGGCAACAACAATACTACAGCGAGAATAAAAGTTACGCCTTCTTTCTTTGCGTGAACATTTGGGCGATGTTATGCAAATCTCCCCACATTGTGACGTAGACATGTGGGGGTGTGTTAGAACGAGCCGTTTTAGGTAGGCGTGGTTGACTCTTAACTTTTATAAAAAATATCTCTTTGAATTTGAGACTTTAGTCTTTGCAACTTTACAGATCTTCTTTATGCACCAAGAGCTTGTAACACTCCAAAGAGAACGGAAAAATTGAAATCGCATCATATGACCCCTTTAAGGAGCTCTTTGTGGATCATAGCTTTCCCATGTGCACCACACAGAGTCATGGCCGATCCAAGCTCTCATTAAAGTGCACCCTGCACCCATATGCAGCACCCACTGCTTTCTGCTGTGATATTCAAGCACACTGATGGCCCAAAGCGCCTTTTAGCACCTGATGGAAGTGAGAAAGTCAAGTGTTGGAAGTGAAAAAGTCAAGTGTTGGACATAAAACGGGCATAAATGTAGTGAAGTGTAACCTGATCATGGGATCTGCTTGGATGTAATGTTTAACACCTAAAACACTCCTGTTGAAGAAAACCATCCAAAGCACTTTTGAAAGTTTGGGCACAAAAAGAAAAGGTTGTATTTTTAAAGAATGAAACAACATTATGTGTACATATGATTTGTGTTCTTTGCCTGTGAATACATATGCAAATCTTGTGAATTGGTTTGCTGTCATCTCTTGTTGGGTAAAATAGTGTAGATTAATTATTTTTGATGTCTTTATCAGGCTGTAGCCTCAAAGCTCGACCTTCCTGATGAGCTGGTGGGATATTTCAGCCTCTTCCTGGTTCAGGAGAGGGGGGATGGGGGCTGCACGTGTGAGTATAACATTTGACATTTTTAATTTTAAGATCTTTTTAACCTTTGGTAGAAATCGTAAGATGTGCTGGCATCAGATGTGGCCTGCTGGCTTTAGCTGGAAAGTGGTTTGGCTGTTAGTAAATGGTATCTAAAAGTCAACATACTTCCTCTGGACTGAATATTAAAGCAGTCCTGGCAGCTCAAAAGAGAAGTCTGTGTTCTGTTGAGATGGCCGCCCCCTCTCCACAAAAGTAAACTGAGGTCAAGTAGATGAAACTTCGGTCAAGCTGTTGTTGGCATGGCACACACAGCTCTGCTGTAGGCCTGTAATGCATGTTAGACAAACACCATTATTATTATTGCTCATACTGGGTCAGGGATTGAACTAAACCCAAACCATAAGTATTAAACTTCTGGTCTGTAACCCGTTCTGTTCTTTCTTTTTTTTGCTCTAAATATGAATAATACCTCAAATTATGCAGCAAAACCCCTCATACATTAAATCTCATGGGATACTTCAAGTAAATATTTAAAGTTAATATTTTTTTTAATTTACATGCATGTTCATAGTTTTTGAATGTGATGTTCACATGACATACAGGTAAATAAAAAAA